ATATTGGTGGAAGAACGAGGCATCTTGTGTAATAATCTGTCACATTTCGAATGGCATCAAAATGGGGCCTACACCAGTGATTTTTTTGCCTAATTATTGCTTCAATTATTTGCTGTACGATAAATGGCGTATGTTCCCGTAATGCTCTTCTGAACGACGTCCTCTCAATTTGGCGCCCAAAAATTGTTTTTGGGTGGCTTTCAAAATAAATTCATTTGAAAAAAAAAAAACCGAAAATAATCAAAGATTCTCAAAACAAAAATAAAAAAATCCCAGTCACAGATGGCGCCCAACGAGGGACATACGATTTTTTATTTTTTTTTGAAAAAGCTAAGCTGTTGCTTCGCAAAAGAGAGCTGGGTATTTTTCGAGTTACAGATGGCGCCAAACGAGGGGCATAGAATATGTTTTTAAAAGGAAGCAAAACAATTGTAACCCAAATAATTAAAAAGCCGGGTCGAACTTTGAATACCCTCCACAATTTGGAACGAATTTGGCAATTCTCAAAAAGAATAAAATCCGTTAAAAATTCTGTTAAAATCTTCAAAATACCGAAGGCAGCTGCTATATTAGGGCCTATACGACGACATGAACCTGCATAGGTAACATTTGTCATAAGCCATTACAATATTCAAATGCGAAACCTAAAAAAAATCGGTAATAATGTATATAAAATCATCAAAATACCGAATATCGGAAGGTATCGTTATATGGGACTCTACGAAGTCTCCATTACGAACTTCAAATACCAAATTTGAAACAATTCCGGTGAATAATGTCGCTAAAGTCATTAAAATATCGTATATCGGGAGGTACAGTTATATGGGGGCTATACGAAGACGTGCACCTGCATAGACAATTTTCTGTCTTAGGCTGTAGCATTCATTACGAACATCAAATACCAAATTTGAAGCAATTCCGGTAAATAATGTCGCTAAAATCATCAAAATGCCGAATATCGGGAGGTACCATTATATGGGGGCTATACCAAAACGTGGACCTATATAGACCATTTTTAATACCAAAAGTCCTGTAGATATAATGTACATTTGGGTAGAATTTTATCAATCTACTTCAATTCGTTCAGAAGCTAGAGTGATTTCCACAGACGGATAGACGGATGGACATCGCTAAATCGACATAGAGTTTTATGCTGATCAAGAATATATATATTATATATTTGTGGGGTCTAAAATGTGTATTTCGAGGTGTTACAAATGGAATGACAAACTTAATATACCCTCCATACTATGGTGGAGAGTATAAAAATCCGAGTCACAAATGGCGTCCAACGAGGGACATACATTTTTTTTTTTGAAAGAGAGAGATTGCCTCCCCAAAGAGAGCTGGCCATTCTTGGAATCTCGGTCGATGTTCATTCACTTTGGCGCCCAATGTGAAGTCAGAATTGTTTTTAAGTCGATTCTCAAATAAAGGACATTTTAAAGCTCTCTTGGAAAAACCCCCTTTAAATGTCCTCTACAGAAAAGAAGATAGTTTCTTATGGCAGTAAGCTTTCTCCATGGCTTCAATAGAATAGGAGAGCCTTTAATGGCCTCATAAAAAAAATATACTTATGGACCTATGACCTCCAATGGAAGAAAAACTTTTGGGGGTCACGTGTGGATGGCAGACCCTTTAATAGTATTTCTATGGAACCCACAATTTTTGGAGATTGCCCCCAAAGAGAGCTGGGCATTTTTCGAGTTACAGATGGCACCAAACGAGGAGCAAGAAAACCCAAAAGCAACCCAAAAAAGATCCAAAGAGGAAACAGAATATGTCCTTTCTGTGTTAAGTCATGCAATTAAATTCATCGATTTATTTGATTACATCAGTTGGTAAGATCCTGACTTAGTTATGCCTGAACATTTTTGGGTATAACTCTCAGCCAGATTTCGGCACCTGTTCGCTACCCTAGGCATACCACTGATTTCCTTCCGAAAACCCTCTCAATCTTTTTGGCGTCCAATTTTGGAGTGTAAGAGATTTTCGCGAACATCTTTTAAATATCTAGGGGAACCATAAAAAATAGGTGACACTTACCCAACATCGATTTCCCTCTGGAAACTTCCCGCCATCTGTGACTCCCTATTTTTGGGTGGAGAATAATAATTTAAAATTTTCTACGACGGTCGGAAAAATTGTCGAAAGGGAAGATAATATCGAATACGAACGATTATCTTAATTTGGGAAAATGGCGCCCAACTATAGAAATTGTAAAATTATTGTGGCTCCCACTTTAAATAAGGGAAAGTAACTGATTATTTGCAGGCAGACATCCAGGGTCTGGGGGTGTATAATGAAATGCTTCCGACGTAATAAAAATACTGAAAAATTCTATCAGGACCAAGGGACAAAAATTGGAATTGAGCTGACCTAGTTTCCCAATATTTTCTGTTTAAAACCCTTCTCGACATTAGTGGCGCCCAATTGTTGGATAGAAAAAGATAAAAATTGTATTTATGGGGGCAAAGAAAAATAAACGTACAAAGTTGACCATAAAACACCAATGGATTGATTCCCTCTGGAACATTTTGCGACATCTGTGGCGCCCAATTGTTGTTTAGAGGATTTTTGACTTATTTTCCTCTGAAAGTGCTTCACGATAGTAGTGGCGCCCAAGTGTTGACAGGAAAAATAAATCATTTTATTTATTGCGACCAGTTTTTTGGGGTTTTTCTCTGTGGTGGTAAAATGCAGCATAACTAGAATCTCTAAAATAAATGAACATATTCTTCTTTGTATTCGTGGCGCCCAATTGTTGTTTAGAGAAATTTAAATGAGTGATGAGTAAATGAGGGATGCTGAAACTATTCTTGGCAGCAGTGGCGCCCAACTGTTGAATATAGAAAATTAATAACTGCATTTTTGGGGACCAGGGTACTAGTAACCTTAAAGAGGGTTTCATCTAACACACTTCTTGATGCCTGTGCGGCCAATTGTTTGCTAGAGCAAATAACTTGATTTGTACGAGTACTAAGACGTAAGTGGCGCCCAATTGTTTGTTAGAGAAAATTAATTTTTATTTTCTACGGACATTTTTTAAGGAATATGGGGGACTTATCCGAAAGTAAAGAAGTCCATGTGGGTTTATTTTTATCTCTAGTTTGAGGATAGGTTTTTATTACCAAGATTGAATTTTAAGAGCAAGAGAGAGTACTAAGACTAAAGTGGCGCCCAATTGTTTGTTAGAGAAGATTAATTTATATTTTCTACGAACATCTTTCAAAGGAATAAGGGGAGACTTATCTCAAAGAGAAGAAGTATATTCGAATCTATTCTTATCTCTATTATGAGGATAGTTTTTATATTGCCTAGATCGAATTTAAAGAGCAAATGTACCTCTTAGAGGTAATGTCTTGTAATTTTACGCAAGACAACAATGTAATGTCTATGTCTATCGATGCCGAATTGGAGTTCAAGCCTCCTAGGGTCCCTTTAAGGTAAATTCAATAATTGACAACGATGTAATGTCTGTGAGCGAGGTCGTGAGGATTCCGATTTAAACTTTAAAACCTATGAGTATCTTCATGGGAATTAAAAAAACAAAAATAGTTGACCATTGTAGTTCCGCTTTGCTCTCAGTAGCATTGTTAGAAATGCTACGATTAATTGCAGTATCCTCCTCGAAATAAATGGCGCCCAATCACTGGAATTTCAATTTATTAGAAGTATTTAAATGTTACTTTACCAAGGACATTTTAGGCCTGTCTCTGAAAGACATCTGTGACATATTTCGACTAGGAGCTAAAACTTTTTAATGCAGGGAGCCTCCATGATGTAAAAATATAGGCTGAACTTAAGAAATACTGGAATAGGCATTTTTTGAATTTCCCGGATTTTAATTCCAAAACCCTTGCAGAATAGTTCCGCTATGGAATCTCCCATTCCCGAGTATGTCTCTGAAAGACATCTGTGACCCATTTCGGCTAGGAGCTAAAACTTTTTAATGTAGGGAGCCTCCAACAGATAAAATATAGGCTGAACTTAAGAAATACTGGATTTCCATAGGCCCTTCCAGAATTTCCTTGATTTTAATTCCAAAACCCTTGCAGAATATTTCTGCTATGGAATCTCCCATTCCCGAGATTCAAGTAGTAAGTGCCAACCACATGTTTCTCACACTTCCGCACACTCACACTCACACGTGTAGCGTTATTGGTGCAAGTGTGAAATAAAAAAGGGTGTGCAAGCATGTCGACGGAAACGAACGTGCGTCGCACTCTTTATTTTTTCGTAGCAAACCATAGATTCAACACAAATTAAGGAGCTGGAAAAATAAGGTTTGTAGGTGGGAAAAATTCAACATTAATGAAGCTTTTTCTCACTTTTCTCGTTTTGTTGTAGTTGTTGTGTTTTTTGCTAGTTCGGTTTTTTCGGTTGAAAAGAGTTGAGCAGGCAATGGCAGTTTTTTTGTGTGTTTGGTTGATGATGCTACCACTGCTGTTGAGGGGAAGGCAAGCTGGGGTAGCAGGTCCTTTGAGAATAAGGATAAATGCTGTGACACATGAATGAATGAATGTTTGTGCCTCTCTGGCTTTGCTTTTGGGTGGGCATAGTGTCTGAATAAATAGTTAAGGCGGGCAGCCGAGCTGTTTGTTTGCATAGCTTACATGTCTGACTGGCTTATAGTTTTGGCTGGTTGGCTGGATGGGTTGGTTGCCTGGTGGGCTTTTGAATCACCGGAAGTAACACATATGAGAATATATTTCACACAAAAAAGAAAACTACTACCAGTTGATGCTGTTTGGCCTACACGCAAAGCAGGAGGCTTAGAATGAAAATACCTGGCCTCTGACAAAACACACAATTACATTACTTTATTATTTCCAGTTCATTTTTTGTGCAAATAAAGATTTCCGATTTAATTAGAGAGCAAACCGGCCACATAGTTGGCTGGAAATTATACGCAGGACTTTGTGATCCTGTAATTGGAATGCTTCGAAATGTATCCTGATTTTGGTTTTTCTTTCTTTCTTTTTTCCGCATTTTTGCAGCAGCGGCAGCGGTGGCAATATTATAACCCGCCGCCTATGCCGCAATCGTCGCCGCGAGGACAACGAATTATATCGTTCGAATAGCTTTAAGTTTGAACGCTTCGAGCGCAAGGAATATTTGGAAGAGCTGGCGGATACCCTACAAAAGCAGGTAAGTGAAAGCATGCCAAGATAATTGGGGAGAAGGGAAACAAAGAAAAAGTATTCAACAATTGTTCGAAGTGGGACAAGAACTAATTTAGCAAAAAAAGGAAACTTTGTTACAGTGGCGAGCAAAAGTGGGAGAATTTTAATGTTTTTTTTTGGTCAAAAGAAGTGTTTTAAAAAGGTCTCATGAAAACCACCTGAAGGAGGAGGAAAAACTTCGTAGAGGTCCTCTATAGAAGATAACCACCCATAGAGGCCTTTTATGGGAGGCATTTTCGTGAGTGATTTTATAGGGGGCCTCTGAAAGGGTTTCTATAGAATAGAAGGCCTCAGGGAGGTCTTCTATACCATAGAAGGCCTCTAACAGATCTTCTTTACCATAGAAGGCCTCTGAGAGGAGGAGAAGGCTTCGTAGAGGTCCTCTATAGAAGATAAGAACCCATATAGGCTTTTAATGGGAGGCATTTTCGTGAGGTATTCCATAGGAGGCCTCTGAAAGGGTTTCTATAGAATATAAGGCCTCTGAGAGATCTTCTATACCATAGAAGGCCTCTGATAGGTATTTTATACCATAGAAGGCCTCTGGGAGGTCTTCTATACCACAGAAGGCCTCTGAAATGGTTTCTATAGAATAGAAGGCCTCTGAGAGGTCTTCTATACCATAGAAGGCCTCTAAGAAATCGTCTATACCAGAGAAGGCCTCTAAGAGGTCTTCTATAGAATAGAAGGCCTCAGGGAGGTCTTCTATAAAATAGAAGCCCTCAGGGAGGTCTTCTATAAAATAGAGGCCCTCAGGGAGGTCTTCTATAAAATAGAAGGCCTCAGGGTGGTATTCTATAGAGTAGAAGGCCTCTGAGAGGTCTTCTATAGAGTAGGAGGCCTCAGAGTGGTCTTCTATAAAATAGAAGGCTTCAGAGTGGTCTTCTATAGAATAGAAGGCTTCAGAGAGTTATTTTATATACAAGGCCTCTGAGAGATCTTCTATAGATTTAATGGCCTCAGGGAGGTCTTCTATTGAATAGAAAGCTTCCGAGAGGTCTTCTATAGAGTAGAATTCCTCAGACAGGTCTTCTATAGAATAGAAGGCCTCAGAGAGGTCTTCTATAGAATTAAAGGCCTCAGGGAGGTCTTCTATAGAAAAGAAGACCTCCGAGAGTTCTTCTTTAGAATAGAAGTCTTCAGAGAGGTCTGTTATAGAATAGAAGGCCTCTTAGAGGTCTTCTATAGAACATAAGGCCTCAAAGAGGTTGTCGATAGAATAGAAGGCCCCTGAGAGATTGTCGATAGAATAGAAGGCCTCTGAGAGGGCCTTTATTAAATAGAGGGACTCTATAGAAAAGAGGTCCTCAGAGAGGTCTTCTGTAGAAACAAGGCCCTTGAGAGGTCTTCTGTAGAAAACAAGACCATTGAGAATTCTTCTAAAAAATATTAGACCTCCGAGAGGTCTCTGAGAGGCTTCAGAGAGGTCTTCTATGGAATGGAAAGCCTCTGAGATGTCTTCTATAGTCTTCCTTCTAAGAAAAATTCTATAAAATAGTTGGCCTCCAAGAGGAGAACTTATGCAGAGTAGAGGGTCTCATGAATAGAAGCTTCCGGGAAGTCTTCCATGGAAAATTTCTTTTCAAGTGATTCTACAAATTTATTATCCCACTTCCATCCTCCACTGTATGAAAGAAATTAGAAACGCTTTTGTTGTTCTCCGACTTCGCCTGGAGCGTCTTCCTTGTCCCATTTCAAAAAAAAAAATGCTCAAACAAAAAAAGTTTTCAATTCTCTCCCTCTGCTCCAAAACGGAAATCATCCTAAGGCGTTACAACAAAACACAATCAAACACACACACACACACCGACACATCCCCATTGAAAGAAAGTAGCGCACACCGAACCAATGCCGGAGAAAGTATAAAAATGTAACAATTGTTGGTGTTATTGTCGCGATTTGTTTACAAAAGAGAGAGAGAGAGCAAAGAAAGCGCCGGGGATGAACGAATGAATGAAAATTGGCTTACAGACATTACATGTTTAGTGTTTGCTGTTGTTGTTGTTATCAGCCGTTATTGTTGTGCTATTTTTTTTTGTGGCTGTTGGTAGAGGGATGGAAGGACTGGGAACTGGGAAGAGAACGGAAGTGATAGTGTTGCCATATTTAAGGATTTGTATTAAAACGGGAAAGGGGAAAATCAAAAATAAAAAATAATTTTCTCATAAATCAACGCTTGGAGGAATGGATACCTTAATACTACGCCTTAAACAAAAAGGACTTTAGAAAAATTCTGAATTCTGAAAAAGTTTGAAGGATGGTTTAATAGAAAGCTCCTAAAAGTCTTAGTTTGGGGACTGTGGATATTCTCCAAAATGTTCTTAGGAACTGAAGTTCCTTTACAAAAGTGTTCTCAAACATTTTATTCAAATTATTCTTAAAAATTCTTCGTTTGAACACTTGGGGTCCTTGAAATTATTGTTCAAAACCGGCGTTTGAAGCTCTAGAATTCTTAAAATAAATTCTTAAAAAAACAGTTGAAGTACTGCGGGTCCTGGAATATGTTTTATTTAAAACCCCATGTTTATGCAACTATAGCCGTTTAAAGAGATATCCTTTAAAAAAACAAGAGTTTAAAGGACTTCGAGTACATGAAAAATATTCCTAAAACAAATCAAAGTTTGGACGACTCCTAGTCCATGAAAACATTTTCTTATAAACCATACCTTGAAGGACCTGGAGTCCTTGGAAATATATCCTTAAAATTTAGGGGTTTTAATGGACTTGAAGTTCTTGAAAAATATTCTTCAGGATTGAGTTCTAATCCTTAAGAAAATTTTGGGCGACGTTGAATCCTTAAAAAAATATTCTTAACAATCAATGTTTGAAGGAACTGAAATCCAATCAAATCAAAGTTGCAAGGACCTGGAGTCCTTGAAAAAATATTCTTAAAAACAAAGACATTGAAAGGACCATAATGAAAAACATCTCCTTAAGAAATTTAAGCTTAGAGAATGCAGATTCTTGGGAAAATATCGGACCCCTAGGGGGAAAATATTTCTCCAAAAAATTTGTATTTGAAGAACGTTGAAGTCTCCTAAAAATATTCGCAAGACCAAAAAACAAAAAAAAAAAAAAAAAAAAAAAAAAAATCTTGAAAATTCAATGTTTGAAGGACCTGGATTTATTTAAAAAATATTTTAAAGAAATCAACGTTTGAGTAACCTAATGGGCTCGACAAAACATTCAAAGAAATCCTAAAGGATAGGTGGTTCTTAGGATCACCGATGAAAAAAAAAAATATATATATATTCCCCCGGGAACCCTAGGGGGAATCCCACGGGGCCCCTAGGGGAATCCCCCTGGACCCCTAGGGGGAATCCCCCGGAACCCCTAGGGGAATCCCCCGGAACCCCTAGGGGAATCCCCCGGAACCCCTAGGGGAATCCCCCGGAACCCCTAGGGGAATCCCCCGGGACCCCTAGGGGGAATCCCCCGGGACCCCTAGGGGGAATCCCTCGGGACCCCTAGGGGGAATCCCCCGGGACCCCTAGGGGGAATCTATTGGGAATCTATCCGGCCTCTGTGGGGAATTCCTCCGGCCACTATGGGGAATCTCTCCAGCCTCTGGGAATATCTCCGTCCTCTATGCCGAATCCCTTTGGTCCCTATGGGGAATATATTCGTCCTCTATGGAGAACTACTCCGCCCACTATGGGGAATCCCTCCAGCCTCTATGGCGAATTCCTCCGGCCGCTATAGGCAATCCCTCCGGCCTCTATAAAATATCTCTCCGGATTCTGGGGAATATCTCCGTCCTCTATGCGGAATCCCTTTGGCCTTTATTGGGAATCTCTTCTGCCTCTATGGAGAATACCTCTGGTCTCTAAAGCCAATCCCTCCGGCCTCTATGAACAATCCCTCCGGTCTCTATAATGAATCTCTCCGGCCTCTGGAGAATATCTCCGGCCTATATGCGGAACCCCTTTGGCACCTATGGGAGATCCCTTCGGCCTCTATGGAGAATTCCTCCGTCCTCTATAGGCAATCCCTCCGATCTCTATGAGGAATCTCTCGGGTCTCTATGGGGGATGCTCTATAGTGAAACCCGCCGGCCTCCACATGGAATCCTTCCGGCCTTCATATTAAATTCCTCTGGCCTCTATGGGTAATCCCTTGAACATCAGTTAGCCATTTTTTTTTAATCCTAGGACCCTTTAGTCCGAGAATATGTATTTTAATCATCGAAAGACAGATTTTGAACAAAAAAAAAAAAAAATAAATAAAAAATAAATAAATAAAAAATTAATTCAAGATATCTTTTTAATTCCACGAGCCTTATTATCAAAGAAATATTATTCAAAACTCAACAAATTCAATCCAACAAATTAAATAATTTTAAAAAATCCCCTAGCCTTGTTCCAGGAAAACATTCTTTAAAAGCTCCAAAAAAATAGTTTCTCTAGAAGAGTCCCAGAATTTTTCAAAAATCCTGAAGAAAGAACATTTTATAAAGTATTTTAAGATTAATGGGGTTAGTATTAGATGTTTTTCTAATACTCCAGCTCAAAAATATTTAAACAAATTTTAATTTTGGTAATTTTTTAATATCCTCCTCTCAAAGAATTTTTTTTGGTATTTCTTGATAATTATGTGGGATTTTAATATTGAGAACATGTGGCATCATTATCTATTTACGAAGTATATAAGCTTTTCGAACAAAGCTTTTTTGTTTATGCACACACACATGATAAACAATAGATGGCGCTGCTTAGGAGATTAATCTCATTACAAAGGCATTGCCAGCATTAAATTTCCAAATAAAATTAATTCAAAATTACAATAAATTATGGAATCAAATTATTTCTTAATACGGAAGGAGGTAGGGAAGGGAACCCATTTGTTCCACATTTATAAAAAAAACATTAATTGGTAATTTGATATCGATTAAATGGGACCACGTCTTGCATACAAAATAGGAAAGACATGGGTCAGAGGCGAGCGATTGAAAGAAACCCCAGCTGC